CTGAAGACTTTCTTACATTTGTAAAGAAGACAGGACATGATCCCATCATACTAAATTTTGATAAAAACAAGTAAATATTAGGAATAAATGTTTCTTTTATTTTTAGAATAAATTTATTTCTGAAAGCTGCTCTAACTTGTAATTTATAAAAAAGTATTGAAAGTGGTAAGACTTGGGCCAGCAGGTGGTGTGGTGTTAAGGGCACTGGACTCCCACATGGCAACCATGGTTCGAGTTCTGGACCTGGCAGCTTACTTACTTACATTCCTTCTCTCTCTCTCTCTCTCTCTCTCTTTCTGTCACTCTCTGGTCAAATTAAAATAAATAAATAAAATAATTCTTAGAAAAAAAAGGGATAAGAGGAATTAATACCTTTGGTTTGATGGCTATCTAAATCATTTTACGAGAAATTTTTCATCTAAAACCAGCTTTTTAAAAAATATTTCTTTTTAACTTGATTATTTATTCATTTTTAATTTGATCAGAAAAGGATAGAGAGCAAGACAGGCAGACAGAAGTAAAGTGAAAAAGCAAGCTGCCAGGTCCGGGACTTGCACTACAGCCAGCCAGGTGGGAGTCCAGCATCCTTAACCACCACGGCATCTGCCTGCCCCTGAAAACAGCTCTTTTTAAAAAGATGTATTGGGGGCCGCCAGGTAGCACAGTGACTAAGGCTCTAAACTTCCACATGGCTAACTGCGGTTCCAGTCCTGGACCCGGTGGCTTGTTTTCTCACTTTCCCTCTCTTGCTCTCTCTATAGTCAAATTAAAAATAATGAATAAAATTGGGACCAGCAGTTGGCATAATGGCTATGTTGCTGGACTCCCACATAGTTGGCCATGGTTTGAGTCCCGGATCCGGTGGCTTAAACTCACGCCTGGTATGCGTGTGTGTGTGTGTGTCCAAGATCCTGTGAGTGCCCAAAATCCTAAAAGGGTGAAATGAAGAAGGGATTGCAGATTCCATGCCCATCTCCATTTGACAATACTTGTCATTCATCATCGGAATGCCTTAAACAATTAAGAACACTTTTAAGAGTAACTAGCTTACATCTCTAGGGTGTTTATGTTAATAGTTGACAAAGCAATTAAGGGGCCAGCAGATGGCATAGCGGTTATATTGTTGTGTTGGACTCCCACATTTTAAAAAAAAAAGTTGCAAAACTTAATGTAAAATTATACATATGATGGAAAAATCTGAAGGGATATAGGAGGGAATTAAGTTGTCACTAGTGGTTACTTTTAGGAATGGGGATTGAGGAATAAATTCCCCAGCAAGATAATTAAAAGAAACGGGTGGGAGCAGCAGTTAGTGTAATCACTATGTCACTGGATTCCCATGTAGTTAACTGCGGTTCAAATTCCAGACCCGGTTACTTAAACTCACGCTGGGCACATATGCGTGCGTGCCCAGGATCCCGAGAGGAGAATGTAGAAGGGATTGCGGTGTGGCCATCCCCCCTGGGGAGGGGGGGTGATTTCTCGCTTTCTGTCTGTTTGTCTCTCTCTTTCTGGTGAGTGCATGTACCCTATAGAAAATACCTCTCAAAAAAAAAGAAAAGAAAAGAAAAAACTGGGGCAAGGATAAAAACTTTTCATTAGTGGATTTTTTTAAAAGAGGTTTTTGCCTTAGGGTGTGTGTGCTCACCAGAGACAGATAAACAGTGAGAGGGAAGGAGAAATCACCCCTTGCAGGGGGGATGGCCACACCGCAGTCCCTTCTCATTCTCCTGGGATTTTAGGCACAAACATATACATGAGCCTGGTGTGATTTTTTTTCAAGCCACCAGGTCCAGTACTCAAACTATGGTCGGCCATGTGGGAGTCCATCGATGTAACTGCTGACATCCATTATTGGCTGTTTTTAAACTATTGATTTTTTCCCAGTAAAAAATAAACTTTCTCTTCAAAAAAATTTTTACCAAAAAATTGAGACATTTTTGCTATAGGGTATATATATGTACTTGGTAGGAAGACAAAGAGAAAGAAAGCAAGAAATCACCCCCCCCCCGGAGGATGGCTATGCCACAATTACCTCTTCTCCGTTGTCCTGGGATTTCAGGCATGAGTGCCCAGCATTAGTTTCAGGCCCCAGGTCCAGGACCTGAACCATGGTTGGCCATGTAGGAATCTAGTGCCTTAATCACTATGCCACCTGCTAGCTCTTTACAGAATTTTAATATAGAAACTAGGATTGGAAAATGTTATTTCATAATCATACTATTACAATTATATTTGACAATAATAGCAGAATGTACATGATACAATTAAAAAGATTTGTTTACTCTTTGTACAGAGGTTAGAAATGTGAACATGCTTGTACCAGTTTCTTCTCTCTTCTAGGCTTTATCAGATTTTACTCCTCTCCCTTCAGTTACACTACCTGAAACAGCATAAAACTGAGGGAAATGCAGATTTAAGTTATCATATAAAAGCCAATTCAAAAACAGTGTGAAAAGTTGACATTTTTTTCACCTGGCTTAATTTTTTTTTTTTTTTTTTTTGAGAGATTCTTGCTACAGGGCCTGTGAGCTCTCTGGAGAGACAGAGAAACAGAAAGCGAGAAATCACCCCCTTGGGGGGATGGCCATGCCACAATCCCTTCTCCATTCTCCTTTCAGGATCTTGGGCACACACGCGCACAGTGTAAGTTTATGCCACCAGGTCTGGGACTAAGCACAGTTGACTACATGGGAGTTCAGTGACATGGCCATTATGCCAATTGCTGGTGCCAAAACTATTCATTAAATTTAATTAATTTTAATTTGACTAGGGAGAGCTAGAAGAAAAGTGAGAAAGCAAGCTACCCAGGTCCGGGAGGACTCAAACAGACTAACCACGTGGGAGTTAAGTGCCCCAAGGTAATGGTAATTGTGTGTTAATGTGCACCAACTTGTCATTAAAAAGCCCCCCCCCCAAAAAAAAAGGTAACAATTACCTAACTCTAAGGTTCCATGTTAGTTTTTACCTTCTCTGCAAGACAAATACAATTCTACGTTGCTTTGCATATAAACTGAAGGTACTAGTGAACAGAATTACAGAAATTAAGCACATTAGAAATTTAGTCTAAGTAATCTCCCCACTTTTTGGTGAAAACAGGCCCAGAAAAACAAGACTTGCCCAAGGATGCAAGGCCCAGTGCTGTCTTTAAAAAATCTACTTGTCAAAATCTATTAAGTGAAGATGAGATTAATTTATAGAACCTATTAGATAGTATTTATTTATTTGGGAGGTTTTTGCTATAGGGTATGTGCACTCGCCAAAAAGACAGAGACAGAGAGAGACAGAAAGTGAGAAATCACCCCCCCAAGTGGGGATGGCCACGCTTCAATCCCCGCTCTACTCTCCTCTCAGGACCTTGGGCATGCACGTACATGCGCCTGGCATGAGTTTAAGCCACCGGGTCCGGGACTTGAATTGCGGTTGACTACATGGATTCCAGCAACAGCCATTACACCAACTGCTGGTCCCCCTATTACATAGTATTTAAAGCTGTTTTGGAATTGAAAGAACTACACTGTATTCAAACTTCAAATACTCATCCCAAAATGATCAGGACAGAATTAATCTAAACAAGGTTATGGATTATGTCTGCAAATAGTTCTCCAAGGCAAAGAGAACGGAATAAAGGAATAATACTTGGCTAAAATTGTTATAATTTAAAAATGATTACTAACGCCTGTTATAAAAAAATCACTTCTATTTTATTATCTTTTATATCAGTTTGATGAGAATGTTTATCCAGGAGTACAGTAAGTGGCATAGTGGTTAAGGTGCTGGACACTCCCGCATGGCCAACCACGGTTTGTGTTCTGGCCTGGTGACTTGCTTTCTGTCTCTGTGATTAAATGAATGAATAAATAAAATTAAATAATTCTTTTTTAAAAACAGAATGTTAATCCAACTTATTTTTTAAGGAGAAAGTGTTGAAAACTAAAATGAAAAATTTTTTTAAAGAATTATTTATTTAACTTTATTTATTCATTCATTTATTTTAAATTTGACCTGAGAGAGACAGAGAGAGAGAAGGTAAGAAAGCAAGCTACCAGGTCTAGGACTCGAACCATGGCCAGTCATGTGGGAATGTCCAGTGCCTCAACTATCACGTCACCCGCTGATCCCTGAAAAAATGTTTTTTACAAGATCAAACAATGGTGCACCTTCTGTTATAAGTCTAACCATTTACCATTCAACTCCAAATCCCTCATCATTTTAGTTTTAAAGGAAATATAACAGCTTTTATATTATTTGATTTGGTATTTAATAATAACAGTTGTAAGTACAATGGCAAACAATGAAAAAAACCACTTAGTAAAAAAGAAAAAGACAATTAAAATCAGGTTTTGTTGAAGGGTATTAGAAGTGCAACTTCATCCATAAGCATTCCTTTTAAGGCATTTTCATTGTCCAAATATCTCAACATGTACATCAAGATTTATATTAGAAAATGGGCTCCTCTTGTAGTATTCATTCAAGACTTAAAGAAAAAAAAATACATCTCAGGACTAAGTGTGGCTGAAAAGAAAAACAAAAATTTACCACTTTTCTCATAAAAAGTAACTTAAAATACAAAGGTCATTTAGCATACATTATTACTCCCCACTGTAATTCTAGATTTGGTACAGTATTTTTCTTTTTTTACTCTTGATAGAAACTGTTAAGACAGTACAGGCTGTAGTACTTCATTTGTGAGGTGACTGCCGTTCTGTAACACAGTGATCCTTAAATGGGCTCTTACTATGACTTGCATGAGAGGTGCTACATACATACCTGTTTTGTGAACTCTTTGGTAACCACCAATTCAAAAACGCGGACCCAAACATTCCCACATGGTCAGATCTGAAGCACATTATTGGAGCTCGGGCCAAAGCTATTATCCTATATACTGAATTCTTCGATTTCTTTGGGGGTTTTAGGTGTTGATGTAGAATAGAACCAAAT